TATGAGAGGCCGGCGGCGGCTCCCGGCGCGCATGCGTGCTTCTGAATCCCTCAGCCCGGGACTCCAGGCTGACGCTGGACAGCCTTCACTTTCTGACTCGAAAAGGTGTGTCCGTAGAAGGGGCACACCAGAAACCATCATTTATAACATGCAGCGCGCCATGCATATCATCCTAACTGCGCAAGGGGCTGAGAGCTGATGATCCTGATTCGAAGCCAGCCTGGACAAGAAAGTCCACAAGACTCCCCCACTGACCAGCAAAAAGTTGGAAGTGGGGGTGGAGCCCAAGTGGTATCGCACCAGCCCTGAGTGAAAACGCTCAGGGATAGTGCCCAGGCCCTGACTTCAGTACACGCGCGCGCACATGCGCACACACACGCACGTCTACCATTCGCCTTGACTCTGCAGACTTCTCTAGGGATTTCCACTGGTTCCCATTTTACAGGTTGTTAGTAGTGATCAGCGCTCCTCCAGCAGCTGATATTCAGCCTCGGGGAATCTGGGGTCTGGGGACGGAGGAGAGAGAACTCAGGTGCTGGTGGCAGCGATCTCTTTCACCTGCCTGGGGGCTTCCTAGCTGGACTGGAGTTCCAGCACAAAGCAGAATGAGCAAAGTTCAGCAGAGGCACCATGAGTTCATTTTGGCCAGGATCCGTGTCACTTTTATTATTACTATTATTATTATTACTTTTATTTTGGGGTGCAGCGATTATTGGCTTCCAGCAAGAAGGAGCCCGTGTTCAGCATTTGGTCTCCGTGATGTCGACAGCTGCAGTCGGGGAGAAAAAGAGGTTGGACCACACGAAAAATCTGGCTTTGGGGAAGGAGAGATTAATAGCGTTTCTCTTGTGGAAACGCAAAGGACAGGTGCTGGAGCTATTGAAGTGGCAGCGCGTCTTTGTAAGAGACAGGGCTCGCCGTTTCCTGTTTCCCACAGGGCCAGAGTTAAGCGGGCCTGACACCGGGTCAGAGAAGCTCCTCCATGTGCTGCTGGCCTCCCTGTCTCAGGGGTACACAAACACAACGCAATTGTATTCGCGGCCAAGACCGTTTGGTTTAAATGACCATTGGTTGGGTACTTCAGAAGAAGCCTCAGCCTGGAGCTGGTGGCTCCTGCCTGTAATCTTAGCTACTCAAGAAGCTGAGATCTAATGATCCTGGTTAAGCCAGCCCAGGCAGATAAATCAGAATCTCTTATCTCCAATCAACAAACAAAAAGCTAAAAGTGGAAATGTGGCTCCAGTGGTAGAGTGCTAGCCTTGATTACCGAAATAAACAAAACAGGAAGCCTCAGACATTGATCGTTGTTTTTCCACTCACTCCAGCAGGTCATATCAAGGAAAACCATAACCTCCCAAATAAAGCCCTTATTCTTCTCAGCTACCTTCTCTCCAGATATTGCATCTTATTTTCCTGTAGCTTTTGTTGGAGTTTTGTTTTTTAGCCATACATATTACATATGTATTAGTCTATCTATCTTTTGCAATGCTGGGCCCTGAGTCCAGGGCCTTGTGCATGCTAGTCAGTGAAGTTTAAAATCACATATATTGGCCGGGCGCTGGTGGCTCACGCCTGTAATCCTAGCTACTCAGGAGGCTGAGATCTGAGGATCGCGGTTCAAAGCCAGCCCGGGCAGGAGAGACTGTGAGACTCTTATCTCCAATAAACCACCAGAAAACCGGAAGTGGCGCTGTAGCTCAAGTGGTAGAGCGCTCGCCTTGAGCTGAAGAGCTGAGGGACAGGGCCCAGAGATCAAGACCCACGACCAACAAAAATAAATAAATAAATAAAATCACATATATTTAAATATGTATTTTAAGGTACCCAAATGATCACAAATTCTGCATCAAGTTACTCTTCATTCAACAAATGCATCATCGTTAAGCACTTCCAAGGCAATGTGCTCTTTGTTGGACACTGAGGATTCACCAACAAGCCAGAGATCTTGGCCATTCCCTTCAAAAACAGTCTAAAGTTTCAGAGGGTAAAACAGAGTTTGGCCAGGGTCAAAGAACTGAATAAGCAAAGAATGACAAGTATGATAAAGGCCACAAGTGGTGATGTGTTGGGTCAGGTTAGGTTAGAGAAGTTGGGTAGAGAGAGGCAGAAAAATCACTAGAGGTTGGGGATTTAAAATTAGGCCAAGAGAAGGCAAGGAAAGGCTCAATTATTCTGTGTGTGTCTTCCTCTTTCTTTCTCTTTTTGTCTTCTTTCTTTCCCTTCCCATCCTTCTCCTTCCTTCCCTCCTTCTTTCTTTCCTTCCCGCCTTCTTTCCTTCCTTCTCTCCTTCCTTCCTTCACCCCTCCCCCTCCCTCCCTCTCCTGTTCTTTTTCTTCCTTTCCTTCCTTCTTTCCTTCCTTGCTTCCTTTCTCTCTCCTCTCTCTCTCTTTCTTTCTCTCTCGCTTGCTTGCTTGCTTGCTTTCCTGGAGCTTGAACTCAGGGAGCTGTCCCTTAACTTTTTCTCTCAAGGCTAGTGCTCTACCACTTAAGCCACAACTCTACTTCCGGCTATTTGCTGGTTAAATGGAGATAAGAGTCTCACGGACTTTTTCTGCCTAGGCTGGCTTTGAACCAGGATCTTCAGATCTCAGCTTCCCAAGTAACAAGGATTGCTACTGTGAGCCACTGGCACCCAGCTTGAATCATTTTCTTAGATGATGCTGTTAGGTAACATTTATTGAGGGCTTTCTATTTTCCAGGCATTGTGCCAAGAGCTTCATGCCCATATTTTTATTGAATCCTCACAGCAACCCAACAAAGCAAACATAGTAACTATCCTCAGTGACTGAAGGATAAGCACCAATATAGAGTCACAAGTGACCTGGATTGCACACAGTTTTACTCAGTCACCATGGTGAGTGCTACTGGAGCCCCAGGATTATCTGTGGGCTACCAATCACTGCATTGTTTGGTTTCATTTCCCTGGGGTAACATAAGCTGATTTAAGTGGTAGTCAGTAGTCAGAGGGTTAATGCTTAAAGTACTTTTTTTTCTCTGTGTGTGTACCCTACCTAGGACTTGAACTCAGGGCCTGGGCATTATTCCTGAATGTTTTTGCTCAAGGATCTACCAATTGTACCACAGATCTATTTCTGGCTTTTGGTTATTAATTGGAGATCAGAATTTCACAGTTTCCTGTCTGGGCTGACTTTGAAACATGATCCTCAGATCTCCACCTCCCGAGTAGCTAGGATTACAGATGTGAGACACTGGTGCCTGCTTTTAGTATTTTTCTTTAAAAAGTTGATTCCGGACATTTATACTTAGTGCAAACAGTACCTGTGCCACCCTGCCTTCTCCTATGCCTTAATTCACTTCTGTAAAACACAGTTGGTCAGAATTTATGAAGAAATTGCTATTTCATATTGGAATTGATTGGTTGAGCTGGTAATACCACTATTTAAATACAATGCTTTCCCCCAAAAGTCTACAATTTACTTCATTCCACCCCTCTTCCTTACAGTGCTGGGGATTGAACACCAGAGGAAGTACCATGCCACTGAGCCAAAGCCCCCTCACCTTCCCCATTTATTACATGTGAAGAAAGCTGGGTGCTGATGCTGATGGCTCACACCTATAATCCTAGCTATTTGGGAGGCTGAGATCTGAGAATCAAGGTTTGAAGCCAGCCCTAACAGGAAAGTCGATAAAACTCTTACATCCAATTAACCAGCAAAGGGGAGATATGGCTCAAGTGAGAGTTCTTGCTTGGAGCAAAAAAAGCCCAGCAGATTTCAAGTCCCAGTCCTCAGAAAGGAAGGAAGGAAGGAAGAAAGAAAGAAAGAAAGAGGGAGGGAGGAAAAGAAAGAAGGAAGGAAGGAAAGAAAGAAAGAAAGAGGAGAGAGAAAGAGGAGACAAGAGGAGAGAGAAAGAAGGAGAAAAAAGAAAGGAAAAGGACAGAAAGAAAGAGAGGAGAGGAAGAGAAAAGAGAGAAAAAGAGAAAGAAAGAAAGAAAGAAAGAAGGAAAGAAGGAAGGAAGGAAGAAAGGAAGGAAGAAAGAGAGAAGGAAAGGAAGGAAGGAAGAAAGGAAGGAAGGAAAGAGAGAGGGAGGAAGAGAGAAGAAAGGAAAAAAGGAAAAGGAAGGGGAGGAGAAAGAGAAAGAAGAAAGGAGAAGCTCGTTTCATCATTTTCTGTGTTGATTTATGCTGTTATTTTATGCAGTGATGGTCTTCAGTGCTCACAGGTCCCTATGTTTCCTGTCTTTTCCTCTGACTCGATTTTACATTTTTCTTTGTGTCTCTAATGTGTATATTGAAATTTGATAAAACTGGTTGTTAGTTACACGTGAGTTTCTCTACAGTAAACGCTACTGGAAGATATTAAGATGATCTTGTTCCAGAGGAAATAAAAAGAAATTCCCTCACGATTTCTAATAGGAAGCCTAAAATGCTTTACTAGTCTCTGCTGAGAAACTCTAACTAGTAATCATAACATACAGGTAGTAGCAATAATTTATTATAATCAAAATGAAATGCCAGGCAGTCTGCCAAAAGATATTTAAACACATATAAAAGTATGCACCCTCTCTTAAAAAGTTGAATTCTACAGACATTCCATGTGTATTTTTAGGTTATTTTGCCTTTTAGTAGGTGCCCATATAGAAATGTGGGCATATATATGTATATATGAATAAAACACAATCAGTTTTTAAAGAAGACTTTTGATATTTTCAATAGTACATGCTGAAAATCTTATACATAAAGAAATAATTAGGGCTGGGGATGTAATTAGTGACAGAATGCTTGCCTAGTATATGCAATGTGCTGGGCCCCACCCCATTGTAATTGACTGACTGAATGAATGAGTGAATAGATTAAGTGAAGTGATTCATTATAACTTTGCTAACAGTTGATACAGATCATCTGGAGGCAATCATAGTTTACTCGGCAGGCAGTTGTATAAGGTGTAGGCTTTCCCAGGCTTTTCTACAAGTTCCTGCACAATCTTTGGAGGCCTTTGCCATCTGTGCACCATTAGCAATCTGTTTAGGAAGAACAGTTTTCACTCTGTTCATTCATGTTTTTCCTTTCCTTTTCATAAATAGGAAGCAGTATTGAAAAATGTACATTTGCTCAACTGTTACATATATAAATTTTTAATATTTTTGTGTGTGATATTACTGAGGCTTGAACTCAGGGCCTCTAGTTCTCACTTACCATTTTTGCTCAAGGGTAGTGCTCTACCACTTGAGCTACAGCTCCACTTTTGACTTTTGCTGGTTAATTGGAGATAAGAATTTCATGCACTTTCTGCCTGGGCTGGCTTCAAACTGAGGTCCTCAGATCTCAGCCTCTTGAGTACTAGGATTACAACCATGAACCATCAGTACTCAGCTTCTCTAAGCCATTTTATCACAAGTCTAACCACTAGCTTCCCCCCCCCATCTTTCATTTTCGAAGAACTGATTTCTTATGTTACACAAATGAGATGCCATATCTTACCAGGAAGAATAAACAACTCACTAGCATTCTTAATTTCTCTAACCAATTTCCTTTTTGGTGCACAGCCATTTGATATTTCATAAAGCTTACATATTTTCAGTTATTTTATTCCTGGATGCTGGTTAATTTATGTTGGATCCATGTAGTCCTAAAGCAAATACTGGAAAAAATGAAAAACAGGAAAAGTATAGAAAGATTTAAGATAATTATCATTGTGTATAAAGAAAATAAACTTCGTTGGTTTGCTTTAAAATTGTACTTAGCTATGTGAAGAAACGTGCTGGTTTTGGAAGTCAGTGGTAGATTCTTGTCTAGGGAGTATAAGGCCTGAGTTTGATCTCCAGTATCTCAAACAACAGCAAATTTTGCTAAGCCTTACAATATAGTCTAGGCCCCAGTGGATGGGGCCTAGACTAGTGAAATATTGAAGATTTCATTCTTTTATTCTTTGAATTATACCATACAATATAACAATCTCAATGTTTGCAATGAAGAAAGAAGATAGGGTTCATATTTGATCCTGTGACACTGAGAAAACTTACGTTCTCAAGCAAATATAACATGGGTTTTTTTTGGTCCAAGACTAGGACTTAAACTCGCTACCTGATGCTTTGGCTCCAACCCTAAATAAAACACTGTTAATCATTATAAAATTGTGGGTTTCTATGAAATGTAGAAGAGATTCCAATTGTATCTTTTTGTGTGTTTGTGTGGGCCAGTTCTGAGGCTTGAACTCAGAGCCTTGTGCTTTCACTTCATTTTTTTTTCTCTCTACCATTTTAGCTATACCTCCCTTTCTGGCTTTTTGCTGGTTAATTGGAGATAAGAGTCTCACAGATTTGTCTGCCCAGGCTGACTTTAAACTAGAATCCTCAGAACTCAACCTCCTGGTAGCTAGGATGACAGGCTTAAGCTATGGGAACCCAACCTTCCAATAATATTTTAGCTCAAGTTTGGGAATAACATGAATTTTTAATTTAATTTTAATTTTTTGGCCATGTGGGGGTTTAGACTTGGGATCTGGAAAATGTTAGGCAACTGCTCTAGCACTGAGTCCCCTCCCTACCCTACCCTTGTATTTTCTTAGTGCTTTTGAGAATGAGGAACAGAGAAGGAAAGAGTAACTTTGTGCCCAGAGGTCACAGGAGACCAGGTGCTGATGAAAGCCAGTTCATCTGTCCAAGTCATGATTCTAACTGTGGTACACATGAAACCAGCCAGGGTCGGTTTCAGAGGTAGGCAATTTACATTTATTAACTGAGTCAAGCAAATTGGACAGTTTAAGTGAGCACGTAATGAATGGCAACATAAATATGCTGGGCCCAAGAAATGGTCATATTTATGAGGTGTGATAAAATCTGTCTCCCTCTGCTTGGTGGGATCTCAGAAGACTCAAATGAATGCAGTGGTACTGACTAATTTCTGACTTCTGGGATGCTATTTCAGATGTCCTTGAGCATCCAATAGAGAGTGAAGAATGAATGCAAAGAAGCAAAACATAGGACAAAAAAAGTGAAGCACCATGGCAAAATTGGGTACACACCTGTAGAAAACTAAAGTTTGATCTCTGCACCAGAATCAACTCCAAATGCATTAGAGTCCTCCAAGTCAAAGCAGACACCCTGAAAACATTACAGGAAGGAATAGGAGAAATACTAGGGCTCTTGACACAGCCCAAATGTTCTTAATAGAGACCTAGAATTACAACAAATCAAAGAAAGGTTGGACAAATGGGATTGCATGAAATTGCAGAGCTTCTGCATAGCAAAGGACATAGCTAGCAAGCTCAATAGAAAGCCCATGGATTGGAAGATCTTCACTATCCATACAATGGACAAGGGTCTCATATCTAAAATATAGTTAGAACTCAAAAAATTAAAAACCCCCAACAACAAATCCTCAAACAACTACCTGATAAATAAGTGGGCTAAAGACTTAAAGTGAGACTTCTCTGAAGAGGAAATAAGAATGGCCAATATACACATGAAGAAATGCTCAACTTCTTTAGCCATAAAAGAAATGCAAATCAAAACAACATTGAGATTCCATGCACCCCAATTGGAATGGCTATAATCAAGAACTCTAATAACAAAAGATGCTGGAGGGGATGTGGCCAGAAGGGAACCTTACTGCATTGTTGGTGGGAGTGTAAACTTGCTCAACCACTTTGGAAAGTAGTATGGAGGTTACTCAAAAGACTCCACATAGAGCTCCCCTATGACCCAGCAATCCCACTCCTGGGCATTTACGCAAATGATCACAAACAAGGCCATGGTAAAGCTACCAGCACAACTATGTTTATCGCAGCCTTATTTACCATAGCTAAGATATGGAACCAACCCAGAAGCCCCTCAATAGATGAATGGATCAAGAAAATGTGATACACACACACACACACACACACACGCACGCACAATGGAATTCTGTGCTTCCATCAGAAAGATTATTACCTCATTTGTTAGGAAATGGAAAGACTTGGAAAAAATTATATTAAGTGAAATAAGCCAGGCCCAAAGAAACATAGGTCCCATGGTTTCCCTTATTGGCAATAACTAGTATAAGTCTAGGACAAGGAGAAAAGGTCAAAAGCTATGTACATAAGACCATATAAGATGATGTTAAGCAACATGAACCCCAAGCTAGGGACACAAGTATTTTTTTTCTTGCTTGCTATTGTTTTTAATGTATTTATAATGTACTGTGTGACTTTTTTGTTTCTTTGCTATGCTCCTTCCCCACTGTTTTCACTGTATTTGATTCCTGTGTCCAGTATATACATTTTTCTAATTTGGGGAGGGGAAGGGAAAAAACAAAATGCTTAAATAGGGATAGAGGTTGACCCCTAATAACAATGAGATGTATAACATGCTATGTTAAAAACAAACTTTACAACATAGACGGGGGTGGGGCTAGGAGGGGAGGAGTTGGGGAGGTGGGGAAGGAAGGGGTGGTAGGGGAGAGCCAACAGTGCTTGAAAGGAAATGTGCTCATTGCCTTACTCATGTAACTGTAACCCCTCTGTACAGTATTTTTACAATTAAAAAAGTATTTTTTAAAAAAGTGAAGCACTAGTGGTTCATGTCTGTGATCCTAGCTAGTCAGGAGGATGAGATCTAAAGATCAAAGCCAACCTTGGCAGGAAAGTCTGTGAGACTCTTATGTTTTATTATTATTATTAGTAGTAGTAGTCATGGGACTTGAACTCGGGGCTTAGGCTTTGTCCCTGAGCTTTTATAAATCAAGATTAGTGCTCTACCACTTTAAGCCACAGCTCCACTTTTGGTTTTCTGGTGATTAATTGGAGGTAAGAGTCTCACAGACTTTCTTGCCCAAGCTAGTTTCAAACCTCAATCCTCACATCTCAGCCTGCTGAGTAGCTAGGATGACAGGCGTGAGCCACCAGCGCCCAGCCTGTGGTACTCACAGTCAAGTAATCATAAAAAAGCCAGAAGTGTAGCTGTGGTTCAAGTGGTCAAGTATCAACTTTGAGTGAAACAGCTCAGAGACAGTATCTCAGGCACTGAGTTCAAGCCCCAATACCAGCATAAGAAAGAAAAAGAGAAAAATAAAACTTTGATATTCAAATAATACCGTGCACAATACATCTCCATAGTTTTCAAATTAATGTCAATTGTGTATAATTTCACAATCAGCTATAGATCTCAGTCAACTTCAGTTTTCTACTGATACTTTTTTTCTCCTAAAAAGTGGGTTCGAGCCTCTAGGTTTCATCAAATGATCAAATCATAACCTGTCTGGATGACCCAAGCACACTAGGAAATCTGTTTTTCTTTTGATTTTACTTTTTTACTTACAAATAATTTCAAACTTTAGGGGGAAAGTTGCAAGAAGAAGAAGAGTCACAAAGAACAGCGCTACATACTCTTGCACCAGGATCAGCAAACTGCTAAATAAGGCATGCGCAAACAAGCACACAAAGGACCGGGGACTGCCATGTACATGTAACACCTACATGTCAGCATGGCTACTTGCATGTGTTCAGGAGCTACAGCCTACTGACCAATAAGGTATGCTTTCCCCTTACTCCCAAGCAGAAAAGTAACAGCAAAAGAAAATCAGATCTCCTACTTCCCTTGGAGCATCCAGACGTGGCCTGACTCGACCTTGGAATAAGGCCCAGAGGCCCTCACCCACTTTCTAGAGGGAAAATATCCCTTTACTGAGTCTGTAGTTGATTGTGAAATTAAACACAATTGGCATGTATTTAACACTGTCAAATGTAAATCATATGCTTGTTAAGTCATTCCTTGGCTAACCCACTTCTAACGGCTTAGTTTACTCTGCACCCACCACCAAACCAAACTTTGGGCTCTAAGAATGGCATTGAAGCATAAAGCCGGGTACTGGTGGCTTCAGCACCTAGGCCCAAAGTTCAAGCCCCACTACTGGCATTTTTTTTTAAGTTAAGGAAAACCAGGTGTCAATGGTTCACACCTGTAATTTCAGCTATCTAGGAGGCTGAGATTTGAGAGTTAAGTTTTGAAGCCAGTCTGGGCAGAAATGACATAGGAATTTTACCTCTAATTAACCAGGAAAAAAGCTGGAAGTGGAGCTCAAATGTTATAGTGCCAGCCCTGTATGAAAAAGCTAAGGGATAGTGTCCAGTGCTTTAGTTTAAGCCCAAGTATCAAATGAAGAAAGAGAAAGGAAGAAAAGGAAAAAAGAAAGGAAGGAAGGAAGGCAGGCAGGAAGGAAGTTAGGGAGGGAGGCAAAAGAAAGGAAAGGAAAGGAGGGCAAGAGGGAGGAACATAGTTTCTGGGAGAGAAAGAAAGAAAGAAAAGAAAGAAAGAAAGAAAGAAAGGAAGAAAGAAAGAAAGGAAGAAAAGAAAGAAAGAAAAGAAAGAAAGGAAGAAAAGAAAGAAAGAAAAAAGGAAGGAAGGAAGAGAAAAGAGAGAGAAAAAAGAGAAAAGAAAGAGGGATGCGTGCTTCTAGAATGCCAACTTGGGAGTCCAGGCTTTCACAGCCAGGCAGTGAGGTCAGGGAGGAAGCCATGGGACTGAAAGCTGGGAGCTGAGCACAGGGAATAGTTAGAATAATCATATTATCATGATTTTACTTTAAATATTAGGCAATTTTTCCCCAGGTCACCACCTTGAGGTCTGAGCTTCTTGGTGGCAGATGGATAGACAGGTAGATAGTAGAGGGCTTTGAGCTTAGGACCTCATTCTTGCTAGGCTGGTGTTCTACCACTTGAGCCACACCTCTGTCTCTGCTTTTGGATGTTTATTTTGGAGTGGACTCTAGTGACCTTTTCTAGCTAACAGGCCTCAAACTGCAACCCTACAAATCTCAGCCTCCTGAGTATCTAGGACTATAGGCATGAGCCACAGGCACCTGGGATAATGAATCTTTATATCTTCCATATCTTCTTTCTGAATGAATTCAGAATAAGCAGTGACAATGTGAAGATTGTAGGTAGTAAAATCATACTGTAGAAGAGATTCACATGCTCAGTGAAATTTTATATGTTCTTATTCCAGAACCAAAACAGCAACTGTGAGACGCCAATTTTTTAACTGTAGTAACTTTTGTTGCTTAAACGCAAGTGTCTGAGTTCAAAAAAGTTCACTGTCGGGCTGGGAAGGTGGCTCAGTGGTAGAGCGCTTGCCTTGCATGCATGAGGCCCTGGGTTCAATTCCTCAGCACCACATAAGCAAAAAGAAAAAAAAGCCAGAAGTGGTGCTGTGGCTCAAGTGGTAGAGCGCTAGCCTTGAGCTGAAGGGCTGAGGGACAGCACCCAGGCTCAGAGTTCAGGTCCCACAACCGGACCCCCCCCCAAAAATTCACTGTCTCTGAGCTTTTTTTTTCTTTCTCTCAAGACTAGCATCCTATCACTTGTACCACAGCTCTATTTCCAGCCTTTGGCGGTTATTCAGAGATAAAAGTCCCACAGAATTTCTTTCCCAGACTATCTTTGAACACTGATCCTCAGCTCTCAGCCTGAAAACACTCCTGAATATACCCCAATTAACCATCAAAAGGTTGGAAATGGAGATGTGACAAGTGGTAGAGTAGCCGGGTGTGGTGGCTCACGCCTGTAATCCTAGCAGATACTCAAGAGGCTGAGATCTGAGGATCGCGGTTCAAAGCCAGCCCAGGCAGGAAAGTCTATGAGACTCTTATTTCCAATAAACCACCAGAAAACTGGAAGTGGCGCTGTGGCTCAAGTGGTAGAGAGCTAGCCTTGAGCTGAAGAGCTGAGGGACAGCGCGCAGGTCCAGAGTTCAAGCCCCACGACCGGAGAAAAACAAAACAAAACAAAAACATAAAACAAGACAAGTGGTGGAGTGCCAGTTTTGAGTGTGAAAGTGTGAAAAAGCAGGAGGGAGAGGGTGAGAGCTGAGTTCAAGCACCAGTACCAGCACACACTTACAAAGTAACATTGCATTTAAGCTTTCTTTCTTTTTTTTAATTCTATTTTTCTTAAGGAAAAATACTTGGAAATTCTTCAAATTTTTATGGTTGCTTCAAAACTATCATCTGAATCTTGTCATTTAGAATTTCACACGGAGGAAAACCGTCTAAATCTTTCCACAGTAAGGCCATGGGAGATCCTCTTTGATCCACACAGAATAAAAAAGACAAGGGAGAAGAGTAGAATATTTACCTTAAAAAGGATACCTTCCCTACCAGTCACAGTCAACAGTGGGTTGGCTGGAGAAATCTGTTAATAGTAGAGAAAAATGTCTTTAAAAATATCAAGCTTATAGCACTTCATGGATTTGGAAAAGAATGTCATTGTGGTGCTGCAGATCAAACCCACCACCTTGGGCAGCATGGAGAGCACAGGTCCCACCCCCGAGCCGCTCCATGGCCATCACGGACAGAATGGTGTAGGGTAGCTAGCAACCCAGCTGGCTCTGCCCCGGGGCCCCCTCCCTCTCCTTGGCGAGCTGGAGGCTGGCCAGCAGCTCGCCTACTCCTTCAGGCCTCTGGCCGCCCCGATGAGGTCAAAGTACTTTGTACATATGTCATGTGCAAAATATTCCCCAGCAAAGTGCTTTGCCTGCAGCTGTGAAATTGATTAGTGGCTTGAAAATCCCTGAAGAGTGTCTCTCCCAGCACCTGGAGTTGCTATTTTGAAACCGGACAAGAAAAGAGACTGGCTAGGGGAAAAGACTATGTGCGTTATGTATGGAGGAGGGGGGGAGGGAGGGTTAAGTCCGAGAGCTTGCACAAATGAAAAAGAAATGTGCACAGCAGTGTGATATTTGAGAGTGTGTGTGTGTGTGTGTGTGTGTGTGTGTGTGTGTATCTTGAACTCAGGGTGTAGATAACTATCCCTGAGCTTTTTTGATCAAGACTGGAACTCTGTCACTTGAGCTACATCTCCGATTCCAGCTTTTTGGTGATTAATTGGAGATAAGAGTCTCATGGACTTTCCTGCCTGGGCTGGCTTTGAACTGCAATCCTCAGATCTCAGCCTCCTGAGTAGTTAGGATTACAGGCGTGAGCCACTGGTGCCTGACTTACTTTTTAATTTTAAATGATCTTTATATAGCTGTGTAAAGGCATTTCAATTCAAACACCACTTCATGAGTACAATGCATCTATAGTCTTTTTTTGTTGTTGTTGTCCAAATAGCCTGAACAAAGCTTCATTGTTCCAAAGACTGTTCTGAAATCAGTCTTTACGGCACTCAGGACTGTAGAGTTGGGAGGTATGCTTCTTTGCTGACTGCTTGGCCAGGATAATCTGTTTGTAATGTGCAACACTTCTGTTAAATGGTGGTGAGAAACTAAAAATTCCTTATAGAACAGACAGGGCAGATTCTAGTAATGACTCAAGTCTGGATTTTCTTTTTCCCTCCAAGTTCATTGCTCTCCCTAAGAATGAATTTAGTGGAAGCGTGCCAATCATCTATAGCCTATGGACACTCAGCCTGGTTGTTTGGTATCATGTCCCACAAGTGCATTGTACCTTGACCCTGCATACACGCACTCACCACATCCTGTAGGGCAGACCTTGTGCTAAACACTGCAGAGGAAAAAAAAAATACAAATGCAATGTCAACAGGAAGGAGACAAATGCGATTTAAGTAGGATATGGGGAGCGCGCAAGGGGTGATCACCCAAAAAGATCTAGCCATTTTCCTTTCTGTCCTATTGTGACACATGCATCCAATAACAAAAATCGGAGCAGTAAGGAAAAAGCATAACAAACATTTAAAAAAATTTTTGCTTGTGAAAATACCATACAGAGGGGTTACAATTATATGGGCAAGATAATGAGTACATTTCTTATCAAGCATTGTATCTTCTTCCTTTGTTTCCTCTTCCCATCCCTTCCCATTCCACACCCCCCCCCCAAAGTTGTAAAGTTCGTTTTTCGACATAGGGACTTGTTCATCTTAAGGTTGCAAAGGGTCCACCTGTATCCTTATTTAAACGGTTTGTTTTTTTCCCTTCCCCTCCACAAATTATACCAACATCAAATACAGTGAAAGCAGGGGTTATACCGTGGGGGAGGGACATACAAAACAAAAAAGAAATCATCTGATAAATATGTAACTAACATATTTAATCAAAGGTGACCTAACATGCTTCAGAAATGAAGACCCAGAGACCCAGAGAAACCTTTCCATTTTAACGCCTAGGTGGATGTGGGAGGGAAGGACACACAGGGTTCTCTGGAATGTACCGTCTTTGGGGGATAAAGGAGATGCAGGGAAAGGAGAGAGAGAGAGAAAGAGAGAGAGCCTTTCTGTTTTACGCCGTTGCTTTGGAGTGAAGGGTGTTTTCTGCTTTCTATTCTGTCCGGGGGAGTAGGAGGCAGGAGATAAGACAGGTGATTGGAGGCCCTCCTCATACCCCCTCCTCCACTTGAGATACCACACACAGAACCTCAACTGGAGGCACCATGGCGCCAGTTCACCGACCGCATCAAGGAGTGGAGAGGCTTCCTCCCAGAGAACTCCATTGGGAGTCTGTCGTTTGTTTCCTGCTAGTTGCACAATAAGCGCTAGCTCACCCCAAACAGGTGATATCTAGCCAACCTAAGTAGGTAGACACTTTAGACAGGACAAACTTTCTGCAGTTAGATCCCTGGAAAATGAAACCATCTAGTCAAGTTCTTTTGAAACTTCCAAGGGAATCAAGAAAGAATAGAAAGAGTAATTACTATTAAAATTTTATGCATTATTAAAACATATTTATATATAATAGCATATATGATATGTGATTATATATTATATGTTATGTTATATATTATATTATACATTATACTATATATTACATAATTATATGTAATTATCATAATATACTACATATATTATAGAATTATATTTCACATATACATAACATGTATAATATAAAATACAATAATATAGTATTTTACAAATATAAACATAACCCTATTAAAATACTATAAAGATAATAATATTAATATTATATTAATTATACTTGTACTTTTACATTAATAAAATTAATCATTATAGTTATAAATTTAATCATTTTTATGTTATAATAAGGATCATGCAATAAATATTTATCATTTCTAGCCACTCATCATACAATAAATCATATGTCAACATTATCATTCCAATGATAGGTTAAAGCTGTGAAATTCAGCTGACACATTAGGATGAACACATCTTAATATTCTCAAATGGAAAGATACAGCTTAGCAAAGGACAATGCCTCTGGGACAAAGTTACATGAAATAAGCAAGAGAAATGTTATTCCATCCGCACGGATGCTTTATTTTCAGCTGATGCAGAGCCAATGAGATGTTTACAGAATGCAGGAGGGAAATCAAGATTCACAATAGAATACAAAATATCCAAAAACAAATACAACGATTACACATGGGAAAACTATGCACGTCTAGCATTGGAAGTGCGTGTGCCTTGTCTTCACAATGTAGGCAAGGGGGCTGAGATGAGGCGGAAAGGCTCTACTGCCCCCTGGTGTTCATTGCTCTGGATTGCAATGTTCCAAAGGTTTTGAATCATTCAGAGAAAGGATCCCTATAGACTTTTCCATAACCCAGAACAACTGCTACTGTGGTAAGTGAATTTTAACTCCCTGCCCTCGTTTATAAAAGATTTACTTTATTTTAATTATGGTAAGGAAGAGGAGGAAAATTAATAATAAATCAAATATGAAAACACAGGAATCCAGAAAGCCTGGTGTTTGCTGGCTTTGGCCTTGAGGTGAGGGCAGCTGTAAAATGGAACTAATAAAGGGCGGGAAAAGGAGCTTGTAGATATGACCAGAGGGCTTAAATCAATGGACCTTCTGAAATCATTAAAAGAAGGACAGGGACAAGGTGTGTCTGTCATAGGCAAGAGAGCTGAGACCAGTTAGATGGAAAAGGCTGAGAATTCCACTTCACTGGCAGGCCCGTGGGAGGAAGAGGAAGCTAAATGGCTGGGGAAATTGGAAGTGGCTCCGCTCTACCTCAGATCCGATTCATACACTAGAACACACATGTACCAGGATAGTCAGAAAAGCAAAATCAAACAAGAAAATGGTTTGCATATATTTGCCCTTACCAGTTGTATTAGAAGCTTCTGAAACATAGTGGAATTTAGTCTAAAAAGCACAAACAAAAATTAAAAGTGGGACAACAAGCCATGTGCTGGTGGCTTAAAATTGTATCCTAGCTATTTGGGAGTCTGAGATCTGAGGACTATGGTTTGAAGCCAGCCCAGGCAGTGAGGTTCACATGATTCTTGTCTCCAATTAACACCAAAAAGCCAGAAATGGAAGTGTGTGGCTCAAGTGATAAAGCACCAGCCTTGAGCAAAAAAACTAAAGACAGTGCCCAGGCTCTAAGTTAAGCACTAGTGTCAGCACAAAAACTCACAAACAGCAAAAGAAAAAGAATTAGATTCACGGCCCATAATTCAAATCTGTGAATCAAATACTATTCTATTGGCCCACCAGATGTTTTATTTTAGAGTCAGTGAGATGTTTACTGAGTGCAGGAGGAAAATCAAGACTCACATTAGAAAACTATACCAACTGGTATGGGGTGGGGGGAGTGGAGAGGCGGAGGAACTCTAAATACAGCTATGACTCTGGGAAAGCTACACAAGTCTGGCATTGGAAGTGTGCCATGACGTCACAATGCAGGAAACAGGGCTGGAGCAGAGAAGGAAAGTCTCTACTGCCCCCTAGTGTCCATTTCTCTGAATTGTAGTGTTCCAAAAGTTTTCAGTCATTCCAGAGATTCTTGTAGACTTTTCCTTAACCCAGAACAATTCACAGTAACTGAATTTCAATTCCAACCCTTATTGATGACAGATTTTCTCCATAATTAAAGATCTAACTGTGGTAGAAACTGTGGCTTAAACAAAATGAGTGATATATCCCAGACCAAACCTGGGAAATATCCAGAGAACCATGGAAAATTGGAGTCACATAATTTTATCTTGTGAGTGACATCCCATCCCTCTGGGAGGAGGCGTGCACATGTGTACTAACATGGGGATGAGGAGGCTATTGAAGGAACTGCCACTCCAAACAAGTAATAAATTGTGTGCTATTTGCTAGGATGAGTGGGGCTCCATTTCTTACAAAGTTAGAGAGGGTAGTGTAAGACTGATACCTGGGCTTATTGCAGTCCATCTCTCTTGAAAACATTCACTTGTTTGCCACCTCATCTTCCTTGTTGCAGTTTGTAATAATTATATTTTTTGTGCAGCTATTGGAGCTTGAACTCGGAGCTTGAACTCAGAACCTGACACTGACCCTTAGGGGTTTTCTTGGTTGGTTGGTTGGTTGGCTGGTTTACTCAAAGTTAGGGCTTTACCACTTGAGCCCCAGTTCCACTTCTAGCTTTTTGATAGTTCATTGGGGATGTCTCATGGACTTTTCTGCCTAGGCAGGCTTCAAATCATGATCCTCATATCTCAGCCTTTTGAGAGTATCTAGGATTCCAATACTAGCTCATGAAATCCTGACATGAGCCATTGGAAACAAGTTAATAAGTGTGTTCTTTTTAAAAGTATTCTGTTATTGTCACACTTAATTTTTTAAGGGAAACTTTTATTTTGTTGATGTACCTATTCTGTGATGGTAGAGATAAGATCCTAGGCCCTGTACATGCTAGGAAAGTAATGATCAAACACATTTCTAGCCTTTGTCATAACTTTAAATTATGTGTGTGTGTGTGTGTGTGTGTGTGTGTGTGTGTAGAGAGAGAGAGAGAAAGAGAGAGAGAGAGAGAGAGAGAGAATATCCTGGCCCTTGAACACAAAACATGGGTGCTGTCCCTTAGCCTTGGTGTTGAAGCCCAGTGCTCTACCACTTGAGCCACAGCTCCACTTCCAAAATTTTGCTGCTGGTTAATTAGAGATAAGAGTTTCCCTGTCTTTCCTTCCCTGGGCTGGCTTAGAACTACAATCTTCAGATCTTAGCCTCTTGAGTAGCTAGCTGAAATGATAGCTGTGAGCCACAACCTGGCTTTTAAATTATATCTTAAACCTCTGGGTCTCTTTCATCATTTAGATTTTATGTCTTATGAATTCTTACCTCATTTTATCCTCCTAGTCTATTGACTTTTTTTGGTTTTCCATTTTTAAGCCTGTTAATATTTTATTTTGATTAATTCATGTCTTCTCATAAATGGAAAAACATATAATACATTATTTTTATAGTATACATCCTCTGCTTAACCTAGTAGAATAAATTTCATTGTCCTTCTACAGTTTTTCTATGCTCAATTTTATTGAATTTGTATCTTTTCTAGTTTGGTCTTTTCTAGGTTGGTCGTGGGCCTTCAACTCTGGGCCTGAGCGCCGTCCTTCAGCTCTTCAGCTCCAGGCTAGCACTCTACTACTTGAGCTATAGCACCACTTCTGGTTTTCTGGTGGTTTATGGCGATAAGAGTTTCACAGACTTTCCTGCCTGGGCTAGCTTTGAACCGCGATCCTCAGATCTCAGCCTCCTGAGTAGCTAGGATTACAGGCTTGAGCCACAGGTGCCCGGCCCACAGCATCTTTTATATGGAATTTTTGTCTTTAATTGCCTTAAATCTTAAGGCCACATAATTTACAAATTATTTTCTCTACTTGAATCTTTTTCTCTAAGAAGTTGGCAAAAAAGCACCATCAATCACACACACTTTAGTTCCACATTGTGTGCTTCTGAAAAGCTGCTTAAAGACAATCCTGAATGATAAGTTAGTGTTCTTAGTAAAGAATTCAAAAATAAAGTGTAGGTTGCTATTGTATCTTATCACACTCATTTTTAAAAGCATCTGAACTTACAAATCAATTATAAAATGTGAGAAGTGTTAAATATTCTTTGACATTTATACATACACCATACTAAAATGTCTTTCAACAAGTAAAAGGCAGATGTCAGATATAGGGTATTCTTATTAATTTGGCATAGTCTAGACCAAAAATATAAACACTGCTTCTTCATCTCCAACCATTGCTCTTAACTGGTTAATGAGTATAAATTAAAACACAGGTGAATTTGCTTGGTTCTGAGACAGTGAAGTGATTTTCCCCAGTATTTCAACATGTTTTCATAACCAGTTATATAAACCTGAATACAAAAGCGATCTTTGATAGATTTGGAGGTGTTATTATTCCTTATCTTTTTGAAAAATTGAACATTATTACTAAGTCCAATTATATCACAGAGAGGGAAAATAATGATAGTATTTACTGAGCTGATTTTACTATTTTTAAAAAAAGCTCATATTCACTTAACCACAGCTAGTTTTACTTAAATCAGAACTGTCCAACAAAAATATTCTGTCAGCCATTTATGATGTAAATTCTGATGTTAGAGAGCCATTAAATTGTGGTACACATTTTTAAAGCCATGAGACATTTGTTTTGCAATAAATAAATAAAGCAGGGCTGGGAAGGGGGCTCAGTGGTAGAGCGCTTGCCTTGCATGCCTGAGGCCCTGGGTTCGAGTCCTCAGCACCACATAAGCAAAAAGAAAAAAGCCGGAAGTGGCGCTGTGGCTCAAGTGGTAGAGCGCTAGCCTTGAGCTGAAGAGCTGAGGGACAAAGCCCAGGCCCAGAGTTCAGGCCCCATGACCAGACCCCAAAATAAATAAATAAATAAATGAAGCAGTAGCTCTTACTCATTTGTAATGTGTTTGCAATATGCTATCAATTCTGCCCCTTCTCCCGTCTTAATGCCAGCAAAGATCATTTTGTTCCAGGGATGTGCTTTTTAGGATTCTCCAAAGACTCCACCAGAGCACCGTCTCCCCAGGTGATGCCTTTGTTGTGGGCATCTGTGTAAGAGAGTGCAGCTGTTTGACCTGTCTTCTGGCCAAACACAGACCACAAAGAGTAGATCCAGTCTTGTGTTTGCCTCCCTTTCCAAGAGTGTAGCACTGGGCACACTTCTTGCCTTTCTCAACATCACCCATTTTAAATTCGTTCTTTCATGGCTACCACATGAAGAAAGCCACGCTATGGACTGGTTGTTGATGCTAACCAAAACATCTTCAAGGACAAATTCATTATCTTTTTGTAAATATACCATGAATATCCGACACTTATTTCCTTCTTAGTCACACCTTCCCTTTCTTCACAGGTTTCCTGTGGTTTGTACTTGCCTTCCCCCTTTCCCTCCTTTGTTAATAAAGAAGTAGTTGTTTTTGTAAGTGGCACAGTACCACTTGGCCAATACCCCCCAATCCTTTTTCACTTTTACAGATAGGAATTTGAGCTTTTATCCAGGAGTCTCTGATCCTCCTACCTTTGCCTCCTGGATAGCTGGGGTTACAGAAGTAGGCCACCAGACCTGGCTTATCTGTTTGCTTTTTGAGATAGTCTTCCTATCACTTTTCGAGTGGGGGAGAAGGTGGGCCTTCCATAGTGATCTTTCCAGTTCTACTTCTCATGTATCTGGGACTATAGATTTGTCTGCCTGGACTGATTTCCAGTCTGGTTCCTCAGACCTCAGCATTCCTGAATAGCCAGTAGTATAGGAGCCCAGCCAGGAAATCAATGTGCTATTACAAGATGAGATAGTTTGGGAAGTGGAGTAGGTCAGGACAGCCTGTACAACAGGAGGGAAGAGTGCCAAGGGGATGAAGCAGCGTCCCTCCATTCCATTCATGGCTCCTGTGAGCAAGAGTAAGAGGAGCTCATGGCATGGCCCTGGCCCACAGATGTGAGCAGTGAAGGAAGTGCGCATGCCTGGCATTCATGTCCGGGATGGGTTAGGAAGGACAGGGGCGGGTGAGCCAGGGCCTTATCTTCCCTTCCTGGCTTCAGTGTAGCTGACATCCTACTTGTATTGCGTCATCCACTTCATCTGGAGTCTTGACAACACCAAGTTCTTGAACGGCCCTTTCCCTAACTCTATTAGGCCTCACGACATCTTTCTATTTTCCTTTCCCCAAAACAACTTGTACCAAAATTCTAACACTGAAGTGGGTTTGAAATATTATATTCAGGCTGAATGGATAAATTACGTCACACACTGAGGAAAGAAAAAAAAAACTAAAAGCAAAAGAGGGTCCTCTTGTTATTTTATTCCTGTGACCAAGTGAAGCGGCTGGTCTGAGCCTCACACAAAAGGGCTGCTCTCTCCACACTCAGTGGAAAACATGAGCTTTGGAGACTTGATCCGAACCTTCATAAACCAAGGATGAAGTCTTCTGAGAAGTCTTGGATTCTATTAGAGAGGTGTTATAGCAACGGACCAGCTCTTCCTGAGTGATCACAGACTGTTCTGTTTGAGAAAATGCGTACCCATCTGAAGAGCAAAGACAAGAGACCATGTTAGGGGTGCTAAAGGCTGGGGCTGGGGAATCTCTGTGATGGCCAGCAAGGAAAGATGGGAGGCAGGCATGCTACGAATGGAGTAGTGTAAACCTGGTTGTATTACAACCACTTAGGGAACTCTTCAAACAATACTATTCTGGGTTCACAGGTTAATCTGTAAGGGGTTGAGGGACACTGGAAGTTACAGTGTATGTGGGGGAAGGGGAGTTGTTTGGTTTGGGTGTTTTTTGTGTTGGTCCTGGGGCTTGAACTCAGGGCTCAAGGCTAGCACTCTACTATTGAGCCACAGCTCCACTTCTGGCTTTTTGGTGGCTAATTAGAGATAAAGAGTCTCATGGACTTTCCTTCCCTGGCTGGCTTCAAACCTTTGTGTCTTCTTGTTCCCATTTAAATGTTAACAGATCATTGAAATGTTTGCTCTGCTTTTTTCTTGTCTGGTTCATCCTTTCCCCTTCCCGACTGACTCTAGGAGGAGGGAAAGTAGTGAAGTGGTGGACACAGGACAGGCTAAAGAAGTGTGTGTGTGTGTGTGTGTGTGTGTGTGTGTGTGTGTGTGTGTGCTGTGTGTGTGTATATGTGTCCAAGTGAGAAGCACTGACTCATCCAAAGAAGCATGTATGTACATTGGAAGCATAGAAAAAATATGTAGTAAGAGAATCTAGACATTAAAAAATTTGACAACTTTCTATGAACACCTTGAACAAAGGGGAGAGTTTGGTCTCACACCTGATAAAGATCAATGGTTCTTTTATTGTGACTTCCTTTTTGTTTGGCTTGTTTCCTTTCCTCATACAGAATTTGGCTTTACTATTGCCAAATAGGTTAGGAAAGGTCTAAGCCTCCCACCAGATGCCATTAGATACATTTGTTATTAAAGGAAAATGAAAAGATGTAAGCCTGTGGCTGACGCCTGTAATCTTGGCTACGCAGGAGGCTGAGTTCTGAGGGCTGTACTTTGAAGCCAGCCTCGGCAGAAAAGCCCGTGATACTCTATCTCCACCCAGCCAGGAAAAAAGCCCACATAGCAGAGTGCCAGTCTGGAGCAAAAAAAGCCAATTAAGAGCTCCAGCCCCGAGTTCAAGGCCCTACACCAACACACACACACACACACACACACACACACACACACACACACACTTTAGATAGAACTGGGCTATATTAACTTTATACCAAAAAAAGTATGCAAGATTTTTTGGGTAAAAATAATTTGGAGCTAACACCATGTTTACCTTTAAAACGGTACAATACAAATCTGTCCGAATTTTGAAGACAGCAAGATTTATGTGTATGGGTTGTGTGATCTAGGAAGGAGAAACTAGGAATGAATTTTTTCAAGTTGTACTCTTTAGAACAAACACTACTTCCTCAAATCTAAATGACTTCTTTCCCTATTGAAAAAAAAAAGATAGTCAGCCAGGCACTGGTGGCTCACACCTGTAATCCTAGTTACTCAGGAGCCTGAGGTCTGAGGACTGAAGTTTGAAACCAGCAGGGAAGTTCATGTGATTCTTATCTACAATTAATTACCAAAATAAATACATAATACATATATAACCTGGAAGTGGAACTGTGGCTCAAGTGGTAAAGAACCAACCTGAGTGAAAAAGCTAAGGGGCTGAGTTCAAGCCCTGGTATCTGTACACACACAGACACACAGACACACAGACACAGACACACACACACACACAAAGTGTTACAATAGTTTCATTTGTCTTTCATAACTGTAATTAGCTTACCATGGTAATCACTTTTGAATGCACGGCTTGGTGGCCTTAACTATGTTCACTTCCATTTCCAAAACTCCTTTATTCTTGCAAAACTGGAAGTCTCTATCCATAAAACATATTCCCACCAGCCACTGTCTGCCTTGATGACTGTGACTGTTTTAAATACCACATATAAATAGGACCACAGGCTTATTTCATGTAGCCTAATGGCCCCAAATGAAATGACCCAATTGTCATTCTTGTAAGCAGCTGGAGTTTCTGTGTCACAACCTACGTAACAGTGCATTACTTACGCGGGGCGTGTATATCCACAGAATTGTTCCGGAGATTGACCTCACAAGGACGGGGTAAGATTTGTAAACTTCCTAGTGTTGTCCTGAAAGTCAATCAAATATAGCCTGGCATTAGTTCATTCAAACAGATTTCAAAGAAATTAAACTCTCTCTCATACTGGGAACTGACTGCTTGTGTATTGAATATAGAATGATCTTCAGTTTCAACAAAGTATTGCTTTTAAAACACTGTTTTGCTTTGAGCATTTCATTGTATTTTTTTTGGGGGGGGGGTCCAGTCGTGGGGCCTGAACTCTGGGCCTGGGTGCTGTCCCTCAGCTCTTCAGCTCATGGCTAGCGCTCTACCACTTGAGCCACAGCACCACTTCGGGCTTTTTTTCTTTTTGCTTATGTGGTGCTGAGGAATTGAACCCAGGGCCTCAGGCATGCAAGGCAAGCGCTCTACCACTGAGCCAACTTCTCAGCCCTTCATTGTATTTTTTGTTTTGACTTGGTTTGGCTTTTCTGATAGTATTGGGACTTGAACTCAGGGCCTGGGTACTATTCCTTAGCTTTTTCTCTCAAGGTTGGTGTTCTCCCTCATGGGCCATATCTCCATTTCTGGCTTTTAGCTATTTAGTTGGAGATAAGAATCCCACACACTTTTCTGCCCTGGGTGTCTTTGGACAGCTTTAGATCTCAGGCTCCTGAGTATCTTGGATTCAAGGCATGAGCCTTTCTTCAATACAACTTTCTGTTCCTTTCAAATAGTTGAACTGAATTGTGAATGCCTTGCTAACCCTCTGGCTTCCCAGAACACCTTAAAGATTTTATATCTTTAAAAGCTCTGTCCCAACTTCCTTTTTGAATGGAAAGATGTCAAGAAGGGTCAGTGAAGACATTTGGAGGATTTCCTCCTGGAGCCCCTGAAACTTGTTGTGAGACCACAGTAGAAAATCAAATGTAGGACTTTCGAAATGCTAAACACTCAGATCATTTCCTGACCTTGCCCCTCCAAGGGAGGGGAATTAGGGAAGTTTATTTTGTTTTTTTTTTCTTTTCTCCTATAAACTAAAAGATGTGACTTAAAAAATACTCATTTAATCTGGCCTGACATGTTTTCTTTCTGTGTGTCACCAGGCCTCAGGAAGGGCTGGAAGGGAAGGTGGAAGGAAGAACAGCAAGAATGATTTCGTGTGTGTGTGTATGTGTGTGTGTGTGTGCTAGTCTTAGGACTTGAACTCAGGGCTTGGTCAGTATCTACCACTTGAGCCACACCTCCACTTCCAGCTTTTTGATGGTTAATTGAGGTTAAGAGTGTCGCCAACTTTCCTTCCTTGGCTGGCTTTGAACTGCAATCTTCAGATTTCAGCCTCCCGAGTAGCTAGGAGGCATGAGGCCCAGTTGAGAATTTATTCTTAATTCAAACCAGAATTAAAAACAGCAACCATATAATATAATAACAAAGTAAAATATCTAGGACATTACGTATGAACTATGTAATATATACAATATATAATACATACATATATATGTATATATGTTGTTGTTGGAAACTTAACTGAGGACCTTGGTTTGTGCCCTACTATTTGAGCCACACAACCCAGTCCTGTGGCTCCAACTTTGTTTCTCAGATAGGCTCTCTGGTAACTTTTACCCAGACTAGCCAATCTAACCATAATCCTCCTGTCTCTGCTTTCTGAGTGGCTGGTATTACAGACATGTGCTGTCACGCCTGGTGCCGCAACTCTTTCTCCACAACGTCACTCACTAGGGGTTGCCAACTCTGATGTATGAAATCTGTTTCTTTTCATGTGCTTATCATTTTCACTTCTTATTTGGACAAAAGTTGAAAATATTCTAAGTTTGAGGGCCAAATGTATTTCCTTTGCTATGAACTGTTAGTCTATACTTTGCCTACTATTTTATTGTTTGATGGCCTTTTTCTTGCTGATTTCTAGAAACTACCCAAACATTCAAACACTTGATCTGTTTAGTAGATTGTTTTTCTGTTTATGCAAGCTTTCTTTGTGTATGTTTATATTGTGTTTTTGACTTTGGTTGTGGCTTCTTACATGGAAGTTAATTTGGTGTATTATAAAAATGCATGGACCAACTCCAGGAAATAGAAATGATTTTTTGGTTTCTTCTTTGTTGTGGTTTTTGTTTTCCTTTCTTTTGTCTGTTTATCTGTCTGTGAGAGAATAAGGGAGGCACAGAAATGATGGTACGAAGGTGAGAAGTGGTACTCACTAGACACTATGCTGAAAATGAACCATGCAACTCGTGGATGAGGACAGAAAGGAAAAACTGGGAGAGGAAGGGGTGACATTGGTGAAAAAGAAATGTACTCTTTACTTGACTTATATAACCCTAACCTCTGTGTGTGTCACCTTTACAATAACAATAAATAATTTTTTAAAATGTCACTGGTAACTGGTTCACACCTATAATCCTTCCTACTCAGGAGGCTGAGATCTGCAGACCAAGCATCAAAGCCAGGCAGGCAGAAAAGTCCATGAGACTCATATGTCCAATTAATCAACAAAAGTCCAGAAGTGGAGCTGTGGCTCAAATTTTAGAGTGCAGGCTCACACCTGTAATCCTAGCTACTCAGGAGACTGAAATCTGAGGATGGCAGTTCAAAGCCAGCCCAGGCAGGAAAGTCTGTGAGACACTTGTCTCCAATAAACCAATAGAAAACGGGAAGTGGCGCTGTAACTCAAGTGGTAGAGCCTTGAGTTGAAGAGCTCAGGGACAGTGCCCAGGCCGAGTTCAAGCCCCACAACCACCACCACCAACAGCAACAAAATGTGTGAAAAGAGTACAAACAAAGCCAAGTGAGAGCACAAGGACCTGAGTTCAAGCTTCAAAACTGGTTTACGTGCGTGCGTATACAGACACAGATGCACACACAGACACACAGACAGACACACAGACACACACACACACACAAGTTCAGTGCTATAAGTCCTCACAAATGTAATTACTGTGTTCCCATCTCTTAAATCTAGATTTTGATGGATTTATTTTATATTTGTAATCTTTCTCTTTCAACTTTCTAGTTGAAACCTGCAGTTTCTATCATGATGGACTCATTTTTTTTCCATTCTAAAATTCACTTAACATACATCTGTTGCTGAGTTTTGTGCAGCGTGTGCAGGGGAGGAGACTGCACTGAGGGGCAGCATGAAGGTCGCCCTGCCTGTTTGTCAAGTGCTGAGGGAACCTGGGAAAGCCCGCAGGTTCTGGCGAGGGAGAAAGGGCAGAGAGAACAAGGAGTAAGCAATCTTCATTGAAACCAGGGTGAAGGGAAAAGCCTTACCTCTTCCTAAACACCTGAGCTATATCAGCTCCTGTAATTTGTCTGCTTTCCAGCTCCCGAATTTCTTCTAGAAGACTTTTGTTGTGGGTATTTTTAAGCCTATAGCACGTGGGGATAGAAAACAATATAACATATGAGCTTAGTTTGTTTTGTGATAGTGGGGTTTGGACTCACAGTTTGACCATCTTTGCTAGGCTGGGAGAGTTAACGCTACCCTTTCTTACTTTAGTTACTTTCAGGTAGGGTCTTGCGTTTTTCCGCAGATCTGGCATAGGATTGCAGTCCTCCTACCTACGCCCTCCTGTGTAGCTGGGATCACAGACACATGCCAACCACACTTAGCTTATTTGTTGAGATGGGGATCTCAGTAAATTTTTGCCAGGAGTAGACTTAAACTTGGATCTTAATGATCACTGTTTCCTGAGTGATTGGAATTACAGGTATGAGCCACTTTGTGGGTCCCTTCAATGGCAATAGTAACCAAATAGTATTTTTATTTGGGAATAGAAATGTTTACATTTCAAGAAGAGATGAGACCTGGAACCAGTGATAGTGCAGGCATTATCCTCAAGAGACATGTGGTTTAGTTCATCCCTGGGAACTGATACTTACATTCCAATATGGATTATGGGATTGGAACCCACAATCCTTCCCTTTTGTCAAAGAATTTGTTTGCATTGTAGAGCAAAGAGAGGAGCTGTCCCTCTCCAACATCAACTCCTAGGTTCATATTTTGAGATTCATATTTTGGGTTCATACTTTTCATTGTATCTCTGACACTTGCAGCCTGGCCCTTGCTCACCGCATCATCCAGAAGGGGAGACACTGGAGAAGTGGGAATCAATGAAGCTACTGCAGAGTGTAATAATTATGCATCTACCCATCTCTGCCCAGAACCTCATGTTTACTCTCAGGATCATAGAGTACAACCATATTAATACTTTCATTCCATTATCCACTGCTATCTTTGGTTAAAAAATTAATACCCAAATAAAGAATTTATCAAGCAACTTCTCTCTCTTTCTCTCCGTCTTCCCCTACCTCCTGCTATTCCTATGTCTCGGTCTCTGTCTCTCTGTTTCTGTCTGTCTCTCTCTGTCTCTCTGTCACACTGTCTGTCTCTCTCTCACACACACATATACACACATATAGAGGGAGAGGGAGGATTAGGAGAATAGGAGACATCAAGAAGAAATGAAGAGGGAAATAAATCTGATATATTTGGGGGCAAAACAGTGGGAAAGATCTAGGCTCTACAAATGGTAGAATACATTTAAGAAGTAGATAAGAACCAGGTGCTCACACCTGTAATCCTAGCTACCTAGGAGGCTGAGGATTGTGGTTTAAAGCCAGCTGGGGCAGGGTAGTCCATTAGACTCTTAGCTCCAATTAACCACCAGGAAACCAGAAGTAGAGCTGTGGCTCAAGAGATCTAACTTTGAGCACAAAGGAGCTCAGGGACAATGCCCAGGCCCAGAGTTCAAGGCCCAGGAATTGCAACAGAAGAAGAAAAAGGAGGAGGAGGAAGAGGAGGAGGAGGAAGAATTCAATAAGGAAAAGCAAAAACTGAAATTGCCTCTTCCAGTCTAAAGCTTGCGCCATTCATCAGTTAGTTTCAATTTACCATGTTTGCAGGGTGAGGAGCCTTTCTCTTCCAAGGGCCATTTGATATTTATATCATCATCTGCGAGCCATACAAAATGATTAGTACAAGCAGTCTCAGGAAGCTGATGAGAAGCATAGGAGAAACGTAATGTCTGTCTTCTCATGTACTAAATCATTTCGATGGCCTGATGTGACCCCTGGGCCTGATGCTTTCCACCACTGCTAACGCTCTGATGTTAATGAAATAGAACACATATAATAATTCATACTCTAAATGAATTGCTTCTGCTTTTAAAACCTTATCACTTCTTGAAACTTTAGCCTTAATAATAAGGATGTCAAGGTTTTATAATACCTCGTTTTAATATCTGAGGATCTTATTTTAAGATCTGAATACTTCAGTTTGAACCCAGTCCTGTCAGGAAAATCTGTGAGATTCTTATCTCCAATAAACCATAAAAAAAGCCAGAAGTGGAGGTGTGGCTCAAATGGTAGAGCACCAAATTACTATCCCTGAGTGAAAAAGCCATGCTTATAAGAGCCCAAGGCTCTGAGTTCAAGCCCCAGTACTGCACACAAAAAATAGGTTTATGGTTTTCCTTGCATTTGGTTAAAAAACTTGAGATTCTCTAATCTAATATTTAAGTACTCAGGGGAAACTATATTTGATAGATTCTTACTCCAAATTTTTTTTTGAAAGAGTGAAGGATACTTTTCTATTGAGTATATCCCTTCTGTTGCTGTCTTTGTATTCCTTCCCGTTTTCCTCCATTTTTTCTCTCCCTCCCTCCCTTCCTTCCTTTTATTACAGTACTGGAGCTTGAACTCAGGAACTTGCACTTGATCAATTTGCTTGCTTAAAGCTGGTGCTATGCTATTTGAACTATGCTGGAAACCCCACCTATTTTTGGTTAACTGAGGTGGAGTCTTGCCTATTTTTTTCTTCCAGCTCTAAGCCCGCTAAGTAGCTAGGATTACAGGTGTGAGCCACTGGTGACCAGCTTTATTTCTTAGTTTTTAATCAGTGACCCTCTGGCATCCAGTCTGGCTCCTTTAATACAGATAAAAATGATGCAGGTCACACTTCTAAAGAGTGGAGGGGTGCAGCCAAGTGCCGGTGGCTCACGCCTGTAATCCTAGCTACTCAGGAGGCTGAGATCTGAGGATCACAGTTCAAAGCCAGCCCAGGCAGAAAAGTCCATGAGAATCTCATCTCAAATTAACTACCAGAAAACTGGAAGTGGTGCTGTGGCTCAAGTGGTAGAGCACTTCCCTTGAGATGAAGAGCTGAGGATAGCGCCCAGGCCCAGAGTTCAAGCCTCACGACTGACCAAAAAAAAAAAAAAAAAGAGTGGAGGGGTACAATTGCTTTCAGGAAAAGCAATCATGAACAAGACATTCCATGCACTCTTCCATGTGTTTGAGTTCTAAATATTTTTTCTTTCTAAAAGAAAAGCTGAGAGCCATATCATTCAATATTCACAAAATGGCACTCAGTTTACTTTGAAAGATGTACATACAACTGGAAAAGAGTAAACACGAAGATCTATGTCTTAATTACCACTTCACTTTTCAACTTACGATTTCCAAAATACATTTGGAATCAAGCATATAACAGGGACTATGAAAAGGCCCAGCCAGAAATATGGACATATCAGTGTCACATTGGCCTGCAAAGAAACAGAAATAAAGAAAATTAAAGAACAATCCTTTAGTTCACCAGTATTGAGTATTTGTGCAACCATTTTCTCCTTCCCACCACAACTGGTGATTTGGGAAAGAAAAAATAGGCAATTATAGGCAACTTGAACTGTACAGATGCACAAAAAACAGATGGGAAGATGGGCGCTAGTGGTTCACGCCTATAATCCTAGCTCCTCAGGGGGCTGAGATCTGAGGATTGCAGGACTGCAGTTTGAAGTCAGCCCAAATAGGAAAGTTTCTATTCTGGTGATAGTGTTTTCTCTTTTTTTCTTAATCATCTTGTTAGGGGCTTACCAATTTTATTTAAACTTTTCAAAGACTCAACTCTGATCTTTTGTTGATTTTTCTCAGTTGTGAAATTGTTTCCCATTTCTTATCCTAATTATCCCTTGAAGAGAAACAAATCCTAGATACAACTATCAGTAGCTCAATATCTCATTTTACTAGCCAAGCTGCTTTCAGTTGTGTAATTTTAAAAGAATGTCCCTTATTCTTTTTATTCTCCTTGTTCTATTTCCCTCCCCACCCCGACTCCACCATGTGAGGGAACCCAAGAATGTTGAGCTACATCGTAACCATTTTATGTCATGTACAGCTCCAGGTGAGATTATAATGCCCCTGTCTCTCTTTGCTGACCATGTGAATGGAGGAATATTCTGGACAGCAAGGAATATCTGGACATTTAACACAAGGACAGCAGAAAATGTGCAGGCCACCATCTGGCAAAAGGGAACTGGTACATCCGCAAGTCCATGCTCAGGAGCTTTTCTCGACAAATTCATCTTCCCTGATGGGAGCGGGACTGGACTTTTTTTTCCTCAGTCCTGGCCCTGGGGCTTGAACTTTAGGCCTGAGTGCTGTTCTTGAGCATTTTGTTCAAGGCTGGTGCTCTATCACTTGAGTCATACCTCCACTTCCAGCATTTTGCTGGTTAATGGGAGATAGTCTCATAAACTTTCCTGCTCAGGCTGGCTTCAAACTGCAACCCTTAGATCTCAGCCTCCTGAGTAGCTAGGATTATGGGCATGAGTTGCTGCCACCCAGCTTAGGACTGTACTTTTTGTCTTGAGATATGGGATGGTCCTTATTTTGCCTCACAAAATTAATAAAACTTTATGCCGCCTTTTCTCCAAAACCCTCATTATTTATGAACTGGTGTTAGTTCATAGTACTAAATTTCCAATTTTTAGCCTCATTGTTTCCTTTTTCTAGTTTTCTTAGGTTTGATTATTCTTTTTTTTTTTGGTCGGTCATGGGACTTAAACTCCAGGCCTGGGCGCTGTCCCTCAGCATTTCAGCTCAAGGCTAGCGCTCTACCACTTGAGCCACAGCACCACTTTCAGTTTTCTGGTAGTTAATTGGAGATAAGAGTCTCATAGACTTTCCTGCCTGGGAGGCTTTGAACCGTGATCCTCAGATCTCAGCCTCCTGAGTAGCTAAGATTATAGGCATGAGCCACCGGTGCCTAGATGATTATTATTTTTTTCTTTTTTTGTCAGTTGTGGGTCTTGAACGTGGGGCCTGGGCATTGTCTCTGAGCTTTTGCGCTCAAGGCTTAGCACTCTACTACTTTGAGCTACACCACCACTTCTGGTTTTCTGGTGGTTAACTAGAGTCTCACAGACTTTTCCTGCCTGAGCTTACTTTGAACTGCAATCCTAAAATCTCAGCCTCCTGAGAAGCTAGGATTACAGGCATGAGCCACTGGTACTTAGCAGTTTGATTATTCATTATATAGCTTTTTGAGCTGGATAAAATAAGCCATTGGTCTTTTTCCAGGATCTTTTCTAATACATGTATATAAGCTTAAAATTATCCTGATAAGAAACTGTTTTGCTAGATATTACCAGATGATTAGCTATTTTTATTTAAGTCATTTTTTCCAGTGCCAGAACTATAATTTCCTTTGTCTTTCTCAATTTGGGTTTCAGATGCTCTTCATTTTTTTTTAATTTCCTAACAGAAGACAAAATAGTTGATCTGAGAATGTTCTCTATAGATGATAGATACATCATAATGAAAAATTCCCTTTGAAGACTTGTAGACTTTAAGTATTATGTCTATTGACTTCTTGCTGATGGTTTCAAATAAGTCTTTTCTCGTGTTCGGTTTCTACCACTCTTTTGTCAGGTTGTTTCAATATCAGCTATTTAGTCACAGTTGAAGAAGGATTCCCATCACTCACTCTCTTTCTTTCTTTTCTTTTCTTTTTTTATTTGTACAGTTCTGGAGCTTGAACTCAGGGACTCTTGTTTTTCCTTAGCTTTTTTGTCTAAGGCTGTTGCTTTACCACTTGAGCCACATCCACTCGCCATTTTTTAGTGATTCATTGGAGATAAGAGTGTCATGGACTTTCCTGTTTGAGCTGGCTTTGAACTGTCATTTGCACATTTCAGCCTCCTGAGTAGCTAAGGATTATAGGTGTGAGTCACTGGCACCTGGCTAATTTTTACCTTTTCTTCCTCAACTGTGAAAGTAGGTGACACCAACTTTTATTGTTAATGAAACTCGATTTTCATGAAGAATATAAAGACACTAATACTTGGTAAAACTAACCTGTCCTTTCATTTCTGGAGCAATACGTATGACAGGCCATAAGGAAGAGTAAATGGTGTAAAACACCAGCCAGATGACCATGCTTCCCCAAATTGCCACATGGCTGAACTGTAGAAAGAAGAGGAACAGAGAAACACTTTAATATTCTCTATTTAAAAGAAAATCTTTTCTTATATATTATGTTTTAGCTGGGTGCCAGTGGCTCACAGCACTAACTCAGGAGGCTGAAATGTGAGGTCATAGTTTGAAACCAACCTGCACAGACAAATCCAGGAGACTCTTACCTCCAATTAACCAGCAAAAAGCCAGGAGTGGAGGTATGGTTCCCGTGGTAGAGAAAAAGCCAAGTGAGAGCACAAGGCCCTGAGTTCAAGCTGCAGTACACACATACACACACACTTTACTTTTCCTCTCTCTCTCCTCTCACTGATCCCCCCCCCAGCCAGTCCCCATTTTGCACTTATGTCCCATTACTGATTGTCCTGATCATCATCATTTTAAGTCTATAGTCCACAAATGAGTAAGAATATGCCATGTTTAGCTTTCTGCATTTGGCCTATGTGATTCAACATTGTGATCGCCTGCCCCTTCCATCTCTGAAAAAATTTATAGCAACTAACAAAATATATTTGTCTAGGTCATGTGTTCACGTGTGAAAATATGCATGATCTTTCCATTACTTGCTATCTGAGATCTTCCAACATTCTTCTCAGAATACTTTGCTGTGACTCTAAGAACTTACTGTTTTGAATATGTGAAATGATCATCAATATTCCATTCACTCACACCAAGGGACACCCTGGGTCTTCAGTGAGAATGGTCAACTCTCAGAAGATGTCTATCCAAGTAGAGGGTTACTTCTGCTTACTTTATTGACACATAGAAAATCAAAAGTCTGAACAGAAATCAGCTAGAGAGGTAAAACGCTGACCAACTAATAGTTAATCTGTATAAATAGTTCTGAGACAACAATAAAAATTTGTGACTCTCGCTGGGTGCCAGTGATTCATGACCGTAAACCTAGCTACTCAAGAGTCTGAGAGCTAAGGATTGAAGTTTAAAGCCAGCTTGGGCATGAAAGTCCATCAAACTCTTAGCTCCAGTCAATCACAGAAAAAGCCAGATGTGGTAGAGCATGAGCCTTTAGCAAAAGGAGTTTAGGGACAGTACCCAGGCCTTGAGTTCAAGCCCCAGGACTAGCAAAAAAAAAAAAAAAAAAGTCTTAGATTGAACTACAAATGTGAGTCTGGTAGAGACTCTTAGCTGAAAGTTCATGTCTGGATCTGTGTACCAAATTCTGTAATTGCCAATACTAATGATCCTTTTCATAATCTAATTGTTGGTTTGGGTTTGTATCAGCAGAGGAATTATTTGGGTAAGTCACGTAGATTTATTATTATCACATAAAAAAGATGATTAGCTACACTAGGTGAACTTTGAGGCCTGAGTGCTCTTGTCTTGCTAGGTGCTGGCTCTTACTGTTCACTACTTGTGTCTGAATATTACAAGGGAAAACTCAAAGTGCTATGTCTCAAAGTATTGATATGTACTTATGAACCATCTTCAAAGGCAATTTTTTTATAATCCATTAGTCAAATGATTCCACTCTGTTTAGAGTAAAAGCACTTGTCTCGGCAGGGGGAGGGGATGGCCCCAGTGAGCGTGAGGATGGCAGAGCTCTGCTCATAACTTGGAACATCTGAAACTTTCAACATGTGATACATCCTCATGTCATCATTCCCTCACTGCTCATGTCACGCATTGACTGCATTCTGATTCAGGGTGTCCTCAGGTGGGTCTCTGTTGGGACGAGGCTGTTGTGGCGGGCCATTGTGCTTGTTCTCTCTCTTCCTCTGCCACTCCCTGCACCTAAGCAGTGGTACTATGGATTGAATCAAGCACTTTATTTATTTTTTGGGGGGTCTGGTCATGGGGCCTGAATTCTGGGCCTGGGCGCCATCCCTCAGCTCTTCAGCTCAAGGCTAGTGCTCTACCACTTGAGCCACAGTGCCACTTCCGGCTTCTTTTTCTTTTTGCTTATGTGGTGCTGAGGAATCGAACCTAGGGCCTCAGGCATGCAAGGCAAGCGCTCTACCACTGAGCCACCTTCCCAGCCCGAATCAAGCACTTTATTACTAAGCTACATCTCCAGGCCCTTTCCCATTTTCCTTTTTTCTCTCTCATTCTTTTTTCTTTCTCTTTCTTTCTTTCCTTCCTTCCTCCCTCCGTCTCCCTCCTCTATTTCTTTTTTGGTATCAGTCCTAGGGCTTGAACTCAGGGCCTGTCCCTGAGAATTTTTGCTCAAGGCTAGTGCATTCTACCACTTGAGTCACAGGTCCACGTCCAGCTTTTTGGTGGTTAATTGTACATAAGCATTTCATGGGCTTTTCTGCCCAGGCTGTGTTTGAACTGTGTTCCTCAGATCTCAGCCTCCTCATTAGCTTGAAGTACTAGCACCTGGCCTCTTCTTCCATTGTTTTTTAATGCTTTTTAAAAGATGTTGTACAAAGGGGTTACAGTTACATGAGTAAGGTAATGAGTACAGTTCTTGTTGAACATTGTTACCCCCTCCTTTGTTTTTTTTTTCCAACTATCCCTTCCCTTCCCCATTTCCCACCCCCCCCCACTGTGGCCAAAGTTGTAAAGATCATTTCCAACATAGTATCTTGTGAGTATCATTGTTGCAATGGGTCATCCTGTGCTCTTGTTTCAGCATTTTGTTATTCCCCTTCCCCTCCCCAAATTTGATAAATGTATATACAAGATGCAGGATGCCAAAATCAAATACAGTGACAACAGGGGATATATCATAGGAGGAAGAACATACGAAAGAAACAAAAAAAAATCACATAGGACATTAAAAACAACAACAACAAAGAAAAACCTCTTGTGTCCCTATCTTGGGGTTCATTTCACTTAGCATCATGTTATATGGTTATATGTACATAGCTTTTGAGCTTTTCTGCTCAGCCAACAGACACATGAAGAAATGTTCAACATCTCTGGCCATAAAAGAAATGCAAATCAAAACAACACTGAGATTTCACCTCACCTCAGTTGGAATGGCTATAATCAAGAACTCTAATAACAACAGTTGCTGGAGGGGATGTGGCTAGAAGGGAACCCTACTGCATTGTTGGTGGGAGTGTAAACTTGTTCAACCACTTTGGAAAGCAGTATGGAGGTTCCTCAAAAGACTCCACATAGAACTCCCCTATAGCCCAGCAATCCTACTTTTGGGCATTTACCCAAATGATCACAAACAAGACCACACTAAAGCTACCAGCACAACTATGTTTACTGCAGCATTATTCACCATCGCTAAAATATGGAACCAACTCAGATGCCCCTCAGTAGATGAATGGATCAAGAAAATGGAATTCTATGCTTCCATGAGATAGAACGACACTGCTCCATTTGTTAGGAAATGGAAAAACTTAGAAAAAAATCATATTAAGTGAAGTAAGCCAGACCCAAAGAAATATTTGTCCATGATTTCCCTTATTTGCAGTAACCAGTATATGTCTAGGATATTCTTCCATTCTTTTTTTTTTCTTCCATTCTTTTAAGACAAGTTTTTACAGCTATTGGAATGGACTCCAAACTTGTAATCCTCCAGTCTCTGCCTCCTGAGTAGCTGAAATTATAGGCATGTACCATCAGGCCTGGCTCCAGCATCTTCTTTCCCAGGGAAGAAGTCTTCCTTTTATACACATTCTCCAGCTTCCCCACAAGGCACAGTAGTATATAGGCAAGAGGAGGAAACAGTTCTCATTCCCAGCCTTCATGTTATTTGTGTGTGTGTATGTGTGCATTTGTGCTGGGTCTGGACTTTGAAGTGCCTAGCATTTGCTTAGCTTTTCCACTCAAGGCTAGTGCTCTACTACTTGAGCCATGCCTCCATTTCTGTTTTTTGGCAATTCAGTTCAGAGTCTCTTGGCTTTGTTTATTCAGGATGGCTTTGAACAGCAATCTTTACGTCTCTGTCTCCCTCATAGTTAGGATAACAGGCATGAGTCATTATCAGTGCCTAACTTTAAGAAATGTTCTTATTGGAGAAAATTTAACCACTAAGAAAAAGAAATACCAATTTATTATATGTTTAAATCATATTCAGGTGATATGTCACATTTATACTTTATGTTTTTATGAGATGCCAATTATATACATCTGTTCAAACTAAATGGTGGTGTACAGTTGGGAAGACTGCATAAGTTTGAACCCTAAACTTATTTCAGCAGGGAAGAAAAAGATGTATATATTGTATGCTTTAAGCTCTCCTAATACACATTCATTTTTTTCATAAACCCAGCATTTTTGGTGGTTCTGGGAATCAAACCTAAGGCTTTTCATATTCTAGGCAGGCATTTTACCACGAAGCTAAATTTTCAGCTCATCACATACATTTTTTAAGTATTAGCTAGAAATGAACTCATTCCAAGCTGTGCATGTCTGTGTGTATATTTATAAAAACAAATTATAAAAAATTTTAAGTTTAGTTGGGTACCAGTGGCTCATGTCTGTAATCCTAGCTACTTGGGAGGCTAAGATCTGAAGATGATCACGGTCCAAAGCAAGCCCAGGAAAGAAAGTTTGTGAGATTCTTTTTTTTTTTTTTTTTGGGTCCGGTCATGGGGCCTGAACTCTGGTCCTGGGCGCTGTCCCTCAGCTCTTCAGCTCAAGGCTAGCACTCTACCACTTGAGCCACAGCGCCACTTCCGGCTTTTTTTTTCTTTTTGCTTATGTGGTGCTGAGGAATCAAACCCAGGGCCTCATGCATGCAAGGCAAGCGCTCTACCACTGAACCACCTTCCCAGCCCATTTTGTGAGATTCTTATCTCCAGTTTACCACCAGAAAACCAGAAGTGGCACTGGGGTTCAAAGTGGTAGAGCACCAGCCTTCAGCACAAAAACTCAGGGAGAGTGCCCAGGCCCTGATTTCAAACCTCATGACTGGCCAAAAAACAAAACAAAACCCAAAAACAACTGTAAGTTTATAGAAAATAAAATTATTTTTTTTTAGAAAATAAAATTATTTAGTAATAACCTAAGGAAATTTTTATGTCAGTAAATATACAAGTATGCATATTTTCATAGTAGTATTTTTAGAAATAACAGATATTCATATCATGAAATGTAACAAAGTCAATAAATTAAATAGAAAAATGTGAAAAATCTATGAGTAAGTGAAAAGAGTAAGCTTCAAAGTAGGTAAATTATCCTATTTTTGTTAAAAAATAGTCTATATGGAGCAAGGATTTCAAAGTTTCTAAAACATCAATACCATTCACACTAAAAGGTACAATGTATATTTTTTGCCTTTTTCTATTCTCTGTAGTTGAATAATAATAATAATAAATGTGACATCTCAGGTAATAGCATGCTTATCTAAAGTATTTCAAGTGCAAGTTAGAATATAAATATGCCTTCATCCAATTTAAAGCATTGTTTAAACATGTGAAGCCAAATAAAGTAGAATATGGAGACCAGAGAAAGGCTTATTATTTGCCTAAGCTTGAGAGCAAATCGGCATATAAACCAGAAGAGTGGATACGGGGGAAATCCTGAAGCATACTCACATTATTCCAGGACATTGTCTCCAAGCCAGCTTTCAGACAAACTGTAACAACTACATACTGTGTGATGGAGAGGGGGAAAAGAATGGAAAAATGAATTAAAACTTTTCACTGGCAACCACATCCACCCACTTCTTTTGGACCTTCATTTCTATCTGGCAGATTCTGCTGCCATTGGTTGGTAAGTGTTCTTTCTGTTAGGTTTTAGTTCTGGGGAGACTTTCTTATCCAAGTTTAGAAACCTCCTAACATATAACTCAAATTGACATGCATATATATGCTTGTATGTATATATAATATGTATACACATACCAATATATGTGGATGTATACATATACATACATGTGTGTACATTTGTGTGTATACCAATTTCAGAAAAGTTGGTTTCTTTACAATATTGAGTCTTTTAGTCAATGAATATTGTTTCCAATAAAGTTTTAGATATTTTTTCCCAGCAAGTGTGTGAATATCATTCACTACTGGTTTCCATATGATTAATACCATTACAAAATGGTATTCTACATTTTTAAATTTTTCTAATATTCTTATATATTGAAATATAATTGATCTTCAAGTAGTTGTCATTATCTATTAATCTGATCATTTCTTTTCATTCATTAATTGTAATTTTTTGTGCTGGAACTAGAGCTTCACTCTTTCATTAGGCTTTTTGGCTCAAGGCTGGTGCTCTACCACTTGAGCCACACCTCCACTTCTGGTTTTCGGCTGGTTAATGGGAAATAAGCATCTTATGGACTAAACTGCCCTGGCTGACATTGAACCACAATCCTCAGATCTCAGGCTCCTGAGTAATGAAGGTTACAGGTATGAGCTACCAATGCTTGGCTTAATTGTAATATTTTATCTACTGAACTTTTTGTACTTTCCATGTATGCACAGATACCATCTAATGGTATCTGAAGAAAAATTTATATCAGTAAATACACAAGTATACATGCTTGTAGAATTATTTGTAAAATAACACATTTATTTTTAGAAATAACAGAAATATTCATATCATGGAATGTAACAAAGTCAATAAAGTAAACAGAAAAATGTGAAAAAATCTATGAATAAATGAAAAGAGGAAGTTTCAAACTAGGTAAATTATCCTATTTCCTACTCTTAAAGCCGTACTTCTTTTTTTTTCTTATCTTTTTGTATTAAAACTGTGTTGCCATCAAGAGAGCTGGTCATATGGGACTTTCAGAGCCAGACATGGTAGCTGGAACATACTTATAATCACAGCACTTTGGAGGATCATGAGTGTGGGATCAGCCTGGGCTAAATAGTGAGTTCAGGCCAACCTAGGCTAACACCCCAAGACTCTGGTTCAAAGACAAAACAATTCAAGAGACTGCTTTTATGAAACACTATGTGATTTTGCTACAAAATGTGTTGTTATGCAGCAACAGATGAGTGATATACTGACCGTTTTAAGTCCTACTTCCTTTGTTTCAATCTCCAATGTCAATATTCTTGCAAGTTTCCATCATCTCATACAAGCTATGCTAAAGCCCTTTACCTGAAGAGTTCCAAGGCTATATCCCTACCTACCTCTTAAAGTTCATCTTTACCATTATTCTAATTTCCTTCCCCCAAATCAGTTTGTTCTGTGCTGTTATTCAGCAGCTTTTTCTACTTTCCAGAGAGCACCAGGATTGTCTCCACCTTGGTCATTTGGGCTTAGAATCTTTCTCCAGCTCCTCAACCTTCCAATCAGTACATTAGAAGCGGTGGGCTAGTAACCTCACGTTGAGGTCTCAGGACTTCGTCACAGGGCTAAGAACAAATGTAATATTCTCTAATGGACTGATTAAGTGAGGGTATTATTCACACAGCATCCTTGAAAAGAAAGGGTAGAGATTTATGGATTGATTTGAACTTACCATCAAGCAGTGTAACATAGCTAAAAGCAAGATTGTCACAGAGCACTACCTACGTATACAAAAGGGGTGGTGGTGGTGCTGGATTGTAACATATTTCATATGAGCCCTACATTCTATTATTGTAAATAGTTCTAGAACTGTAGAATTAACTATGTACTACATGTGCAATTAACTTTGTGCTTTAGCAATTGCTACAGTAGTTTCTTCTTGGAAAAAGATATGAGTGTAAGTTTTAAAATTCACAGGATACTGTGATAGAATGGTTGATGTTCAATTCCATTTTTCAATTAGAAAGAAGGAAAATGATATAAAGTACCTGGATGACGATCTTACCGTATAGACGAAATTACCAAGAAACAAATAATCTGTAGTATACCCATGCTGCAGGACGACATCTGAAAAGTGGAAGAGTCATTTTCAGATCTTTCTGGAGTCTGAAACGTAGACTTTGTTTTTTTTTTAACCAAACAGAACCTATACTGGACATCAAAAATACTTATGAATTTTGGGCTATATTCTTAAATTACTGTCCATGACATCATCGCTTCCTATATCACAACTGGAAAATTCTTCCACCTTTTACTCCCTGCAATGACCTATCAGGCAACAAATGCAGAAACCAATGACCAGAATATGCAAGAATGAAAATCACAAGGAGTATGGTGGATGTGATTACCAAACCTGGATTAAGCCACTTTGTAGAATCTGTCCATTAAAAGTCCAAGTAGCTAGATAACAAGAAACTTTCACAACTTTGTTTGTCATAGTATGTCTTTTCTAGAATCACTAGTAACTCAGTACTTTGAAATTTCCTAATACTTTTCAAACAGTGCTAAATCTGCTGAAAACCCTATTATCTCAAGGTTAGGATGATTTCTCCTAATGTTCTCTACCCTTAAAAATGTTCTTAAATAAATGTGAGTTGGTTACTGGCTACAGGTGGCTCAAGCCTGTAATCCTAACTACTCAGGAGGCTGAGGATCCAGGTTTGAAGCCAGCCCAGGCTGAAATGTCTATGAGGTTCTTATCTCCAATTAACTAAAAAACAAATCAGAATAATTGAGCTCAAGTCCCTTGAGCTGTTATTCAGTTCAGGAGTTTACACTCCAAAATTGCCATTATGAACTAAGACTAGAAGGCAAATATATATATATAAAATTCTAGTACTGGACTTGCACACAGCAGCATCTCATGCTCTGTTCTCATTTGGGTTTTTCATTCAAAGATGGTGCTTGATTACTTGAGCCATACCTCTACTTCAGGCTTTTTGCTGATTAATTTGTTTTTCCTGGCTGGCTTCAAATTTGGATCCTCAGATCCAGCTAGGATTACAGACATGAGCCACTGGCATCTGGTCTTCATGTAATGTTATTTTGAAAATTACATAGCAGGAAAAGGAGTATTGGTCTAATAATGAAGTATATGGCTAAATTTCTATGTAGTTTTATTAATTCATGACATTGTCTTACTTGACACATTATGTTTTGGATGCGAATTCAAATTTACCATTAAGAGACATCTCTGATTCATTAGAGATGTGTTTGCTATCAGAATTCTTGATTCAAGTATTGGAGATTAGCAACAAATGCATGTGTGGCCTCAAGTTATGTGTCAGAGGCAAAGAGAATGGGTTCTAAATGTCATCTGATAAGTGTTCAGACTGCCATATGTTAGTCCAAGGAATATCTACTTTAGGTTTAGGTAGATGTTTTATTTTTTCCTAAATTGCTTTTATCTTTCCTGCCATTGTTTCTATGTACACACGTAGAAACACATAAAGTCAGAGTGAGAATAACACAGAGTGCTGAATGTTTAAAACAACATTGCTATTACCATGCTGCATCATTTTTGTGGGAAACCAGAAAAGAATGAAGGAGTGAAGCAAAGCCCACATGCACTGGATCCAAAACACCTACAAGACAGCAAAGCAAGCAGTCAGGGTACAAGCTTCGTTTATGCCTGAAAATAGATGACACTGTGAAGTGCGTTTGCTCTGTGTATGCTTTCCTGGAGACAGAAAAACTCTACTTTTTTATCTCCTTTAAAAGGAATATAGGATAATATTGAATAATATGTGGAAATATGGCATAATATTACTTGGAATTATACTATAATATTGATATAGAACAGGACACAATTATTATAAGGATATATCCTATACTTCATATGATATACTTTGATCTTTTGTCTTTTTTTGGGGGGGGCCCAGTTGTGGGGCCTAAACTCTGGGCCTGGGCGCTGTCCCTCAACTCTTCAGCTCAAGGCTAGCGCTCTACCACTTGAGCCACAGCGCCACTTCTGGCTTTTTTCTTTTTGCTTATGTGGTGCTGAGGAATCGAACCCAGGGCCTCATGCATGCAAGGCAAGCACTCAACCACTGGGCCACCTCCCCAGCCCTACTTTGATCTTTTACATCAACACTCTGACCTTCATTCACAATCATTTCTTTTTTTTTAATTGTCAAGGTGTTGGTTACACAAGTAAGGTAATAAGTACATTTCTTTTCAAACTTGTTACTTCTCTCTCTCTCTCTCTCTCCTTCCTTCCTTTTTTATTCCTTCTTTGTACTGGGGCTTGAACTAAGGGCTTTGAGCTCTCTCAGCTTTTTGGCTCACAGTTGATCATCTACCACTTGAGCCAAGCCTCCAGTTCCCACAATTTTCTTAAAGGAAATCTCAGTGATGGAAAATTTCTAGGTTCAATTAAAGGTATATATTTGTGATAAAAACAACAGAAATAATTCTTTGTTCTTTCAATTTTAAAATATAAGTTATCACATTTTCCAGAAAGTTTTATTATTATTATTTTTTGGTCCAGTCGTGGGGCCTGAACTCTGGGCCTGGGCACTGTCCCTTAGCGCTTCAGCTCAAGGCTAGCACTCTACCACTTGAGCCGCAGCGCCACTTCCAGCTTTTTTCTTTTTGCTTATGTGGTGCTGAGAGTCGAACTCAGGGCCTCAGGCATGCAAGGTAAGCGCTCTACCACTGAGCCACCTTCCCAGCCCTCCAGAAAGTCTTATAAGTAGACTTTAAGTTGTTGTATAATATCTGTAGCAACTACTCAAAGGAATTTTGTTATTATAACAATAGTCAGCTATTGATAATATGTAATTTCCAATGATATTTTATTGTTTCATTTATAAAACATGATGAGGGCTGAATCTGTCTCATAGATCACTGTTTGGTGATGATCCTACAATTAGTCTACAGATCCAAGAAACTCAAGGAACTCCAATAGCTCCAGGAAGCACAGGACAAAGGAAGTAATAAGATCATAGTGAAATGCTGCTATCCAGAAATATAAAAGAAAATCATAGAAAGAGCCACATGGAAAAATTACATTACGTACAGAATCATACAGATGAGAATGATGGCAATTTCACACCAAAACAGTACACACATGAAGACATCGGAAAACACCAAACACACAAAATGCAATACACAAAAACTACCTAGACTTTTCAACCAAGTGCCAAGTGTAAATATGAGTACTATCCTCCAAAGGTTCATATATAAAAGTTTTGTTACCATCTTATATGGAAACTTCAGATCATTTCAGAGACACTGGAATGTACCAAGACTCTGGCCTGTACCCTCTCTCTTTCTCTCTGCTTTTTGGCTCAAGATATAAATAGTTTGCTTCAACACATGTTCCATCTCATTGATAACCAGAGGCCCAAAGCTATGGAGACACTCAATCTTGAATTGAAAACTCCAGAACCCTCAACTAATTGCCCAGATCATTTCTTTGTAATGACCCAAAGCTCACTAATACCCTAAAGAAATTCAAACATCAAGTGAATTCTAAGAAGACTGAAAAAAAAAGAGCAAAGTGAAATGAAGGATATGCAATTAAGTAACAATTTTAAAAGTTTGAAGCAAAACTATAACAGAAATTCTAGACAGGAATAGATCAATAGGTGAAATAAAAACATAGGTTAGCTGTTATGGTGGCCAATGTTTGTAATCCCCAGCTATATGAGGGGGAAGGATCACAATGTAAGGCCATCCTGGATAAAACAACAAACAAGCCAGACATGGTAGCACGTATCTAATACTTCAGCTACTGGCAGGTAGGAGGATCATGGTCTGAGGTAAGCTCTGGGGAGAAGTATGAGATCTTTTCTGGAAAATAAACTAAAATAAGTGATAAGTGGTGATATGGCTTAAGCAGCAGAGTAGCTAGTGGGAGTCCCTGAGTTTAAACCCTAGTAGTATCAAAAAGACTCAGCAGCCACTCTGGTAGACTGGAACAATACAGAGATACAATATTGGGGTTTGAAAACAAAGTACATTTATTAGAACATGTAGATGTGATTATCAAGGATACAGATGTTTCTCCAACAAATAATGGAGAACACATAGCCTTGACATCTAGTGTTGGGAATACTGGATCTTCTATACTGAATATAGAAGATCCCCATTTCACACCCTGTCCTTAATTCAAAGTGGATCAAAGATGTAAATGTTTGGCTGAAACACTGAAACTTAAGAGAAGACCTTTGAAGATACAGGTAAAAGTAATATCTTTCTAAGTAGGACTGCAACTGCTCAGGAAATGTAAGGAAGAATTGAAACAAAGGTTTCTAAATTAAAAAGCTCTTTCACCTCAAAGGAAACAATTATAAGAATGAAGAGACAAACCAGAATGAGAGAAAACTTTTCATGGCTACTGATTGGATAAAGAAATAATATCCAGAAATATACAAAGAACTGGAAGGTTAAACATCAATTCAATTAATAACTGAGCAAATGAATAGTTTTGAAAAAGTAAAAAGGAACAGTAAATATATGAAGTAATGGTCAACATTCTTAGCCATAAAGAAAATGCAAAGAAACAACCACCCCATTAATAAGGGTGAAAGAATTAAAAAGATACTTCTCTGGAGAGAAAATAAGAATAGCCAATAGACACAAGAAGAAATGTTCAACATCTCTGGCCATAAAAGAAATGCAAGGGCTGGGAAGGTGGCTCAGTGGTAGAACGCTTGCTTTGCATGCTCAAGGCCCTGGGTTCGATTCCTCAGCACCACATAAGAAAAAAGAAAGAAAAAAGCCAGAAGTGGCGCTGTGGCTCAAGTGGTAGAGCGCTAGCCTTGAGCTGAAGAGCTGAGGGACAGTGCCCAGGCCCTACGACTGGACCACCCCCCCCAAAAAAACATAAAAGCAATGCAAATCAAAACCACATTGAGATTCCCTCTCACCTCAGTTAGAATGGCCATTATCAAGAAAACAAATAATAACAGATGCTGGTGGGGATGCAGATAAAAGGGAAAGCTACTACACTGTTGGTGGGAGCATAAACTGGTTCTAGAAAGCAGTATGGAGGTTCCTCAAAAAACTAAACATCGAGGCTGGAAATATGGCTTAGTGGTAGAGTGCTTGCTTAGCATGAATGAAGCCTTGAATTTGATTCCTTAGTACCACATAAACAGAAAAAGATGGAAGTGCTGCAATAAACATAGTTGTGCTGGTAGCTTTAGTGTGGTCATTATTTACCATAGCTAAGATATGGAACCAACCCAGATGCCCCTCAGTAGATGAATGGATCAAGAAAATGTGGTATATATACACAATGGAATTCTAT